AGGGAGATAAATAGTTTTAACACTAAAAAATAAGATGATGTAATACTTTTGAGCGTCACTGTAATAATATTATTTTTTAAATATAAATAACATTCTGAATATTGTAGGCAGCATTAGAACTATTAAAATACCGATCTCATATCATAAGAGACTTATATTATTAAAAAACCTAAATTTTTTAATCTGTCAGATACAAATATAAATTTAAATATAGATTCAGATATAGATACAGATTTAGATATGAATATGGATTTGGATCCAGATTTATCAGATTCAGATTAAATCCTAATAAATTTGTCAAATTCAGATTCAGATTGAATTTATATTTGTCAGATTCAGATCAAATCAGATTTGAATATTTGGATTCAGATCAAATTGAATATTAACCAAATCTGATTTAATCTAATTTATGCAGAATACTATTTTTAAAAAATGATATATTTATCATTCTAAAAGAATAATATTGTTTATCATTCTAAAAAGAATGATTTTTTTATTGTTCTTAAAGAAATAATTTATCATTATTCTTTCAGAATGATATTTTATATTATTCTATTAGAATGATGTCATTATTGTTTTAAAAAAAATGATATTTTTCATTGTTCTATTAGAACGATTCATCATTATTCCAAAAAGAATGATTATTTTTTTATTATTCGTTAGAACAATACATTATTATTTTGAAAAATAATTTTTTTTTATTATTTTTTAAAAACAATATATCATTATTTTGAAAGAATAATGTTATTTTTATTGTTTTTTCGAAATGATACATTATTGTTCTAAAAAAATAATATATTTTTATTATTCTTTCAGAATGATACATTATTATTCTAAAAGAATAATATTATTTTTTATTATTCTTTTAGTATAATATATTATCATTTTAAAAGAGCAATATTTTTTTATCATTTATTTAGAATAATGTTATTTTTTATTATTTTAAAGAATGATTAAATTATTGTTCCTTTTAAAAGGTTTTTATATCATTTTAATTGGATAATATAAAATCATCAATTTGAATATTTAGGATAAGTAATAAATAATATCTAAATTTCTGATTAAATAAAATTTATAATTTACAATATAAAACTAATAAACTTTTAGAATATTCTGAATAAAATTTTTTTTTTTCTAATGAAATGATTTTAGGGCAGAAATTTAACTTTTTCTTTCTTTTTTCTTTTTTTTTTTAGGAAATTCTTATTTTAGAATTAAGGTAAGTGAATCAGAAATAACTTTTATGACATTTTCTTTTCTTATTTTTTTAGGAAATTTTTATTTTAAGAATTAAGATAAGCAAATTAGAAGTGACTTTTAGATGGTTTTTAACTCATTTTTCTTTATTTTTCTTTGTTTTTTTTTTAGAAATTTATCTTTTTAAAACTAAAGTAAGCCTTTCAAATGTGACTTTTAGATGGTTTTTAATTCTTTTCTTTATTTTTTTTTAGAAATAACAAAAGTAAACCTTTCAAAAGTGTAGTTTTTTAATTGTTTTCTTTATTTTTTTTTTACTTTTTTTAGGAATATATTAAGGTAAGTAAATTAAAGGTGGTTTTTAGTGAGTTTTTAACTGTTTTTTTTATTTTTTTTTAGAAATATATTAAGGTAAATAAATCAAAAATGATTTTAACTTTTTTTTATTTTTATTTTTATTTTTTTTTAGAAATACATTAAGATAAATAAATTAGAAGTGATTTTTTAGTAGTTTTTAAAAATTTTTCTTTATTTTTTATTTTTTTTTTTTTAAAATACATTAATATAAGCCTTTCAAAGAAGATTTTTTAATAGTTTTTAACTGTTTTCTTTTATTTTTTATTTACTTTTTTTAAAAATATATTAAGGTAAGCCTTTCAGAGATAGTTTCTATATAATTAATTATTAATATAATTTAATTATTAATAAAAAAAGTTCTGGTATTTTCTAGGTTTTCATATAATTTTCATATTTGATATATCTAATATTTCTTATATATCTGATATATATGGTATATTTAACATATTATACAGATTTAGCATATCTTATATATTTGGTAAAATTAGCAAATTTAGTAGATTTAGCAGATATAGTGTAGTAAAATTATATGATTTATTCTATTAAATGATTTTTAGTTGTTTTTTTATTATTCTTTCAATGGTTTTTCTTTTAAATTTAGAAGTTAATTTTAAATATATTAAATATAAATTATTAAATTAATAATATTTTTATAATAAATTTTTAAGTAAAATCAAAAAAAATTATATTAATTAGTAACTTTTTACATTAATTTAAGATCAAAATTTTGAAATTTTTTTAATAAAAGTATTTTTTTTATAAAAGCTAAAATTTTTAATTTTTAATTATTTTTATATTATTAAAAAAACTTTACAAAATATATAAATTTATATTTAAAACATTTATTTATATATTTAAATATTATTTATTTATAAAAAAAATTATAAATTTAAAATTGAAAATTTTGTATATATTTGATATTTAATTATTAAAAATAAAATTTTATTTAAAAATAATAGATTTATAATAAATTTTATAATTTATTTTAACTAATAATTAAAAAAAATTGTAAGCTTTTATGTAAAATTTCACATAATAATTGATTGAAAATCATGATTAAATTTGAATGAAAATCATTATTATTTAAGGGATAATAGTTAGTAAAATAAAAATAAAATTCTTTAATTTTTATTAATTACAAAATTTTAATTATAATAATTATAATAATTATAAAATAAAGTAAATTGCAAATTGCAATATTGTAAAATAATTATAAAATAATTAAAAATTATAATATTATAAAATAATTGCAAAATAATTGCAAATTATAATATTATAAAATAAGTAAAAAATTGTGAAATAATTGCAAATTGCAACTAATTGTGAAATAATTGGAATATTGCATTTATTATAATTATTATAATTATTGTGAATATTAGATTTTCAAAAATTATAATATTTATAATATTACAATTTGTAATTATTTCACAATTTATAATTATAAATACTACCTTTATTATATTATAATTGTTAAGAATTAAGAAGATTATTTTGGTTAAGATCATAAATTATTTTTAATTTATTAATTTATATATTTTATTTATTATAATTCCTTTTAGGATAAATAATTAATAAAATAATATTAAAATAAGAAAATATTAATAGATAAATTATTGATTTGAGTTTTGAATGAATTAAGCTAAATTTTAAATTAAATGAGTTGAATTAAATTAGTTAAAATATTTTGAATCAAATTTCAAGTTAAACTTAATTTGATTTGAGATAACTTAACTAAAATTAAAATTGATTAATTTTTTAAGAAAAGTGTAAAAAATTTCATTTTAATAGAATAAATATATTATTTTAAAGAATAATAAAATTTTATTTTAATAATGATAAAATATTAATTTATCAGAATTATTTTTCTATAATATTTTTATTTATTAAATATAGTTTATGTTAAATTGAAATTTAAAAGATTTTGATTCAATTTGACTTAACTTATTTATAATTCTATTTATAATTATAAAAAGTTTTTAATTTTTTATTAATATTTATATAGCTTTAATTAACAATTAATTTAATGATATTTATTTATATTTATATAGAAAAAATTTTCTTAGTTAAATTCAATGTAAATATAATAATATTTTAATGTTGTTATCTGAAAAATAGGATGTTTATTTTTAGGTAAAAGGTTGAGTTCGTTATGTTATAAATTCTTAGTTAATTTAATGAAATATCCTTGATTGCTGCTGTCATCTGTCATCAAAAATTATAAATTCATCATGACCTTTTTAAGCTGAATCACATGGCAATTCATTTAAGTATGAAGACTTAATGAATCATGATAGAGGTAACACATAAGTGATTGCATAATCATTAATACTAATTCTTTGCGTTATATTACTCCTAGATTAATTACTTCTCTAGATCGCCTTCTCTTTAATAATCCCAGCTTGTCCTATTTATACATTTTGAATTGATCTGAAATTACAGATATATTAGATCATTATTACATAAGAATTGCCTTTAATTATCTAATCATTGCACAATTATTACTATATATTTCATTGCATAGTTACTACATCATGGCTATATAAGAATAACTAATTCCCTAACTATGATTTAATATCTTTTCATAATTACTACATTTTACTCCTAATTTTTAGAAGTAACATATTGTATTACGTAACACTAATTTTATTGATCAACATTTCAATTTATGATTACATTTCTATTATGAGATCGTTTTTGCAATTATGATGAATATTAATCATGCTTTTTGTATTACATTTCTGATCATGTGATTTGCTGTGCCTTTTTTTCACTTGGGTAACAATATTAAATTAACATAAAGCTTTGAAAAATTTAATATTAATTTAATGGTAAAGTATAAAATGTTAAATTAATATTAAACAAAATAATAGATATTATTTAATTAAAATTAAATTTATAATATAAGAATATTTTTGTATTGATTTTGTAATAAATTTTGATATTAAATTAATGTAAATAATAATTTAACATGGAGTAAATATTTCAGATAAAATAATTATAATAATTAAATTTGTAATAATATTTATTTAAGCATTTTTTCTTTATTTATAAATGATATAAACATGACTTCAAAAATAAATTTTAATTTTTTATCTAAACAATTATATATACATTTTTAATAATAAATATGATTTTTTTATAATGTATTATTTTTATGATGATACATTTAAAGAGATATCTCTTTCTGATTATATTTTTAAAATATATTAACCAAAATATCAAAATATAAAATTAATTTTTGATTGGTGCTGTAATATTAATTGATATATATTTTTAAAATGATGTTTGATCTTTTTAATAATAATAAAAATACAAAAAAAAATAAATCAAAAAATTATTATAAAGATATATCAATAATTATCCAATCATATTAAATAAGTATCACGTGATATACAAAACAGTATATAAGACATTTTAATTTTTAACTCGTTTTACAAAAAAAAAAAATGTCAAATCTAGAAATTCAATTAACAAAAGCTAAACTCGAACGTTTAGAAAAAGAGGTATATTTAACAAATTCTTTTGTGCAATTTTTATACAATTTTTCAATAATATTTTGTGATTATTAGTATCAACAAGTTAATCTAGTGAATCTAGAATTATCATCAATAAGACCTAATGCTGTAAGTCTATTTTTACCATGCTTACGATATACTGCTCCTTTGTTCTTTTTCATTTATTTTTATATTTATAAAGTCGATATATCAAAAGAAAACGAATACGAACGTATTATTTTTCGTGGAAAACAAAAAAGAACTTAAAACCAGCAAAAAAAGTTGGTATTTTACATAAATTTCTTTTTTAAAAAAGCATAACCTTTAAATTCTAATTTGATTTTTTTTTATTAAAAAAAGAAGAGTTAATGGTAATTGAAAATAACAGAGAAAAACTAAAAAAAAAATTAGGACAATAAATCTAAGCCACAAGTTCACGTGAAATCAGTGTAATTCATTCACGCGAAGTATACTTTTTTGATTTTGTATAATTCTCGTACAATAAAATATGATTGGTTGTAATCACTTTCGACAGTACAGTTCACCTGATCGTACAGTTTATAAAACTTCTCTCATTAAACTTTTTGAATTCAAAATAATGGCTTGGCAAAGATCTGTAATGAAATTTTTAGTAGCTTCTCTCGGAAAGAAAATATTTGTATTAGGAATTGCCAAAGTATGTTCGTTAGCTGAATACCAAGTACAGGTATTAAATCAGGTTAAAAGCAAAACGAGCATAGAATTACTAATTTAAAGTATTTAATAATTTAGATGTATGGTATTCCACGTGTTTATCGAAGAGCGTTGGAAATAAATAAAAAAGTATTTAAGAATCCCGAAACGAGAAACATAACAGCAAATTTAGTGAAACGAGGATTTCTATTACCAAATACAATATCTGTTAGGTTAGGTATGATACCACAACGGCCTATCAAAACTTTCCCGTCATCATCGTCAGCAATTACAAATAATACTAGCAAAAGCAGCACTGTTACCACACCTTATACACCATCTAGATTGATTACACCTAATCATCCCAACCTTCCCATTGGATCCATAAAGAATCCAACCACACAAACCATGACCACCACCACACCTACACCCACACCCACATCTTCAACGGACAGCTCAGCTTCTTCCACATCTCAAAAATGAATCCTCCAAATCATTATGATCTTTGAAATTTACATTGAAATTACAAGTGATTTATTTAGAACTTCGAACGATGACATTTTTTTAGATTTATACAAAAATATCGTTTCACAAATTAGATATATATTTATTTTATTTTTAAATCAAAAAATCCTAGCCTTGTATATTTCCATTTTGGCTTTGCTATGTAATCATAAAAACCATATGATAGGATTTTTCAAAAAACAAAAAACGAAAAATCATGTAATTTGTAATCAAAAAGCCTCAATGAATCTGGTTTTATAGTGTGAAAATCTCCCAAACAAAGAAATCAAATTTTTATGTTTAAGATCTTCATTGTAGGCGATATCATATTTACTTATAAGGCGCCATAGAAATTTTTTTTACACGTATATATATATGGAAAAAAAAATATTTAAAAAAAAAAAAATATATATATATAAAATTTGTGCAAACCATGTCTTTTCGTTATGTTGCTCCACAAGCTTACCAAAAATATGGTGAGTATATATATGTATGTGGCAATTTAAAAACGGTCAAACTTTTTAAGAAATAAAATAACTTGATATATTAGGTTATACCCCCGTTCAAAATGATAAAATTATTGACATAAATGAAGAGGGGTACACTCCGACCGACGAGAGATCATCCATGGATGGGTTGGCGGCGCAGCAACCTTTTCCTAATAACGTACGTATTAAATTTTCTGCGCCTCCATTAAAATGTATGTTTGGTTTTTGTTATATTTTACACAAAAAAAAAATCCACTAATTTTTCAAATCCAATAGCAAAAAAAAAATGCCCTAAAATCTTTTTTCTTGTATTACTGATTTTAATTTTAATTCCTTTATTTGGAAAGGTAAATCAAGTAATTAAAGATCAGTTCGTTTAAAATTATTGATTAACTTAAACCCATTCGTTTTGAATTATTAGTATTTTATGATAAGAAAAGAATTCTTTGATAGTAATGTATGGAGCATGTGCAAACCCAAGGTTCCGTGGAAAGGTCCAAAAGAATTTGAAATCGATCCTAAAGAATTCAGTAACTTTGAAATGATCATAACTGGCAACGCTTCTGTAAGTAGAATAATCCGTTTTTCCCATTTTTGCGCAATAATGTTTTAACAATGGGTTAACTTAAATAGCAGGGAAATATTTATGTATCACAATCATCATCAGAGCAAAGTAATTTTTCATCATTAATAAACGTTTCGGTACAAATATTACTTAGTCATGAATCTTTACAAAATAGAGTTTCGGTGATTTCGTCATATGATTCATCAAACTGTCGTCTTCAAGTAATGACCCCTGGAAACGTTTCATTTCCAAATTGTATATCAGTAAACGTTAATATTACATTTCCCAAGAGTTTAAAAAAATTTGGAAATTTCTTTATAAACGTAATTAATCATCATATCAACGATGACAATTTGGATAATATCACTTTTAATTATATTAATTGGAAATCAATTCAATCTATAAAAGCTAAGGTAAATATTTTTTTTATATTCAAAGATTTAGTTCTATATATTATTAGCTTATGTATCTTTGTATGAATTTTATAGAGTATAAAAGCGCGTGAGATTGCCATTCAATCACTTGGAAATATATCGGGAAATTTTTATATTGACAAGACTCTCAAATTCAAAACAATTGATGCTCGAATAGATGCTATTGTTAAATCCTTTACTAATTCAACACCGGAATCCATTTGTCTCTTAACGTCAAATTCAATCATTCAAGGGTCTTATCCTTTTGCGCATTTATTTGAGGGCCATACGTCAAATGGAAAAATTTATTTAAATGTAACTGGTAAATCTCAAAGAGGAGGTAAAATCATTTTAACCACGAACAATGGAAATATTGGTGGAAGATATGATGTTAGTAGCGAATGGCATGCTTCAACAAGTAATGGTAATATTAATGTTAAATTAAGTCTTGCTAACACAACGGTTGATAAGCTGATTCGAATATCTGGAAAAACTTCAAATGGACACATCAACACTTTGGTGGTAAGTTTCGAGGTTGCAAATTTACTTTTTTTTAAAAATAGTAATAATAATTTTTCTTTTTATTTTAATTATCTAGTCTGATCTATATAAAGGTCGATTTCGTTTGCAAACATCAAATGGAAAGACTAATATTGAGGGTAATGATCATGCTATTAATTATAACGCAAATGCGAAATCATTTAAAATGGGTTATAAAGGGAATAATATGAAGAATGACATTTCATTATCGAGTTCAAATGGGAAAATTGATCTAAAATTTTTAGAATATTGATAATTTTTTTTTTTTTTAAGATTTCATTTTAGAATTTTTTATGTAAATATTATTAGATTTGCTGTCCAATCATCAATAAACGTTCAACGGAAAAACTTGGGATTTTCCTTAAAAAAATAGAAATATTTGATTATCAATCGGTTCCACATTTTCTTTGTTATGTCCTGAATTCAATCAATGTCGAAATTAAAGATACGCCTAATTATAATATAAACTAGAATCTTATTTATTCATCTAGTGACACATTAATTGCGTCATGATGATTTTAAGGGTTTCCGTGTAACACTTTTTATTTTTAAAAAAAAACAAAAAAAAAACGGATAAAACGCGAGCTAAAATTTCACTTTTCCCCAATCCTATTTTATAAAAAATATTCTTCAAAATGAAAATTGAGATTATTATTTTTGTTGCTTATTTTTTAGTGTGCGCAAATGCTTGTGCACTATACAATAGTCATAATACAAAATTGGAGGAACAACAACTTCTTGCAGAAGAATTCCCTGTTAATAATATTTTTGAGACCATCACGGATTGCAGTAATGACAATGACATCCTTATCATTGAGAATATTTTTATATCACCAGACCCACCACGTAGGGGTGAAAATGTATACATTAATGCCAGCGGTTTCTTGAAAAAAACTGTTGGATTTGGAAGTTATGTTGATTTGACCGTAAAGCTTGGTTTAATCAAGCTTTTACATCAAAAACTTGACTTATGCGAACAAGTAGAAAAAGTCGATAAAAGTTGTCCTCTTAAAGAAGGAGAACAGTATTTAGAGACTACTGTTACATTACCAAAAGAAATTCCATTTGTAAGTATCCATAATATTAATCTTCAAGCGTTCTCGATTTTTGTTTTGTTGTCATTTATTAATAATTCTTTGTTATCAAATGGGATAAAGGGTAAATATACTGTAGAAGCTTATGTTTATACGATAAATGAGGAAAGAATTACTTGCCTCAAAGCAAACGTCATGTTCAAACCATGATAATTTGGGGATAACTTTCTTTTTTATAAATCTATATATATTCATTCCATAACAAATATTTTGTACAGATTTTTAATATTCAGATTCATCAATATTTGTTTTTTCTTGAGCAATTTCAAAGTATTTTTATTTTTTATTATATATATTTTTTTCAATAGGTTAAAACAACTATAACAAGTATTTTATTTACTTCTTAATTTGTCATTTTTAATTTTTCCTAATGAAGCGATTTTCGATTATATAACTTGAACAATGGACGTTTGATATCAAATAATTTGATACCCAAGAACCCAAATTCAACCCATTTTAATTACATAAGAATGCTTAATTCCAATAAAAGATTACTTTTTTCACTCAAAAAAAAAATAAATTGTCTTTTCTACGAAATATATTACCTATTCCCATAAATTAAAAAAAAAAGATCAAATCCCCATTATGATCAACTTATTTTCAAAATAAATTTTTAAAAAAAAAAGTGAATTATAACCCCATGTCACCACACGGAAGAATTGCCGGTATAATTAGTTTATTCCTAATAGGCTAACAGATAATGACAGAATTTTGACGCGATTTTCTTTTAAGGGCTTTGATGTTTCATAATCAACAAAATAAACAAGGTATGATTAAATTCTCTAGCGAAAGTTTTTTCACGTAATCCGCACATTTTTATACATTCCCGCACTTTCGTGTAACGTCCAACATCAATGGTTGATTCATTGTCTTATTGTACAATTCATAAACAATAGTTTTTTTTTCTTTTTCAAAAGTTATAAAGAGATAAAAATTTTTTGTAAATATTACATATGATTGATCGATGTGAAAGTGAATGACCCCGACATGAGAGATTACCATTTAGGTTAACAAAACAGTAAATAGTGAAACACTGCAACGTGACCGCGTCATCTGGTTTGCGTAAGCGCTCCCCTTATTATTTGATAATATATTTTGCTTCCTAAACCTTCCTTTACGGTTCTGACCAGCAAAACACCGCGGTTAACCCCGTGTAAGTTTCTATTATAAATAATTCATCTCACTTTGCAATACTATACCGTTTTAAACTCTGATTTTTATTTTTTAATCAATCTGTGTTCCCTCATATAGCATATAACAAAAAATATTCGAAGAGAAAACTTTTTAAAATAAACATTATAAAATGTCTTCCGAGGGAAAGGGAAAACTAGTGTACGTAAAATTCTTTTTTTTTTTGATTCAACAAAAATATGTATTTTTTCAACTTGTTTAGATCATTTTCAAAATATTTCGTTTAACACCTATACTAACCAATTTTATGTTTATGATCGCTTTTAATTATTATTATCTATAACTTTTAAACCTTTTTAAAAACTGTTTCGTTTGATCTGAAATCTGTTTTCTTTCTTTCAACCTAACTTACAAAACCTCACTTTCTATAATAAATTCTGGTGTAAAGTGATAACGCTGCTATTAACCCACCTAATCCAGACCCAAACCATGACCCCGCAACAGCTATACTTCGAAAAAAGCCAGCACCTAATAAATTAATTGTTGATGATGCTACAAACGATGATAACTCCGTAATGTCGCTTTCCACGGCTACCATGGAAAAACTACAGCTTTTCCGTGGTGATACCGTTTTGATCAAAGGAAAAAAAAGACGTGATACTGTATTAATCGTTTTGGCAGACGATTCATGTGATGACACAAAAGTGAAAATTAATAAAGGTAAAGAATTAATGCTAAAATTATTTTAAAACTAACAAACGTGTTATAATTTCAATAAAAACTATAACTCTTTTTCCGTTTGCTAGTTGTAAGAAATAATCTTCGTGTACGACTCGGCGATGTGGTCGCAATTCATCCTTGCACCGAAATAAAGTATGGAAAACGTATTCACGTATTGCCGATTGATGATACAGTTGAGGGTGTAACAGGTAATTTATTCGATGTATACCTAAAACCATATTTCTTGGAAGCATATCGACCTGTGAGAAAGGGAGATTTGTTTTTGGTTAGAGGAGGTATGAGAGCTGTGGAATTCAAAGTTGTAGAAACAGATCCACCAGATTATTGTATCGTAAGTAATAATAATGATGTGTTTACAGTAGGTAGATTATTTACACGATGACTTACACAAATCTTTTATTTAGGTTGCACAAGACACAGTAATACATTGTGAAGGTGATGCGATCAAACGAGAAGACGAAGAGGCCACTCTCAATGATGTTGGTTATGATGATATTGGAGGATGCCGAAAACAAATGGCACAAATTCGTGAACTTGTCGAGCTTCCACTGCGACATCCGCAACTTTTCAAATCTATTGGTATTAAACCACCACGGGGTATCCTAATGTATGGTCCTCCTGGCACGGGTAAAACTTTGATTGCACGTGCAGTGGCCAACGAAACTGGTGCCTTCTTCTTCTTGATTAATGGCCCCGAAATCATGTCAAAGATGGCTGGTGAATCTGAAAGCAATTTAAGAAAGGCCTTTGAAGAAGCAGAAAAGAACAGCCCCGCTATTATTTTTATTGATGAAATCGATGCCATCGCACCTAAGCGTGAAAAGGTATGATTTATTATTGCTCGCAAATTATAATTCCTTCCTTTTAAAAAAATAAAAAAATGATTATTTATTTATTTATTTATTTAAAATTTTTAATAAAAGACCAATGGTGAAGTAGAGCGACGTGTTGTATCTCAACTTCTTACACTCATGGATGGCATGAAAGCACGATCAAATATTGTAGTTATGGCGGCCACAAATCGTCCCAACAGTATTGACCCTGCCCTTCGACGTTTCGGTCGTTTCGATCGTGAAATCGATATCGGTATTCCCGATCCTACCGGACGTTTGGAAATTTTACGTATTCATACAAAGAATATGAAATTGGATGACGACGTTGATTTAGAACAGGTTAGTGATATTCATTTTTTTTTTCCGAACCATAAGAATATTTTTTATGATTGCTAATATTATATCTCATTTTGTTGCCAAATAGATTGCTTCAGAAACTCACGGTTATGTAGGTTCCGATGTAGCTTCGCTTTGTTCAGAGGCTGCTATGCAACAAATTCGTGAGAAGATGGATTTAATCGATTTGGAAGATGAGACAATCGACGCCGAAGTTTTAGATTCATTGGCTGTCACCATGGACAACTTCAGAGTATGTATAACAAATAGATAATAACAAAAGTGAATGAACTACAGTCTTTCTATATGGCTAACTTTTTTTTTATTAAAAAAATATCACCTTTAGTATGCTTTGGGAGTATCTAATCCATCTGCATTGCGTGAAACTGTTGTTGAAGTCCCAACCGTCACATGGACTGATATCGGTGGGCTTGAAAAAGTTAAATTGGAGCTTCAGGAAACCGTACAATATCCTGTAGAGCATCCTGAAAAATTCTTGAAATTTGGTATGTCTCCATCGAAGGGTGTGTTGTTCTATGGCCCTCCCGGTTGTGGTAAAACTTTGTTAGCCAAAGCAATTGCCAATGAATGTCAAGCTAATTTCATCAGTATCAAGGTAATAATCAAGCGCTTTTGTTTAAATTTATTCTCATTATGTGTATACTTAAAAAAAAAAAATTTTTGGAAAAAATGTCCGTTCCTAGGGTCCTGAATTATTGACTATGTGGTTCGGTGAGTCCGAGGCGAATGTTCGTGATGTTTTTGACAAGGCACGCGCGGCGGCACCTTGTGTGATGTTCTTTGATGAATTGGACTCAATTGCAAAGGCACGTGGTGGTTCTCTTGGTGACGGTGGCGGTGCCGGTGATCGTGTTCTTAATCAAATTCTTACCGAAATGGACGGTATGAACGCCAAGAAAAATGTATTCGTCATTGGTGCCACAAATCGTCCAGATCAAATCGATCCTGCTTTGCTTCGTCCTGGTCGTCTAGATCAATTGATCTACATACCTTTACCTGATGAAACTTCAAGGTTTTCAATTCTAAGAGCTACCTTACGAAAATCACCCGTTTCAGAGGCCGTTGATTTGAATTTCTTAGCTAAATCGACACACGGGTTCTCTGGTGCTGATTTAACAGAAATCTGTCAGCGTGCATGTAAATTAGCCATCAGAGAAAGTATTGAAAAGGAATTGGCTCGTGACAGAGAACTTAAAGAAAAACAGGAATCCGGAATGGAAGAGGACACTGAAAAAGAGGACATTGAAGAAGAAGACCCAGTTCCACAAATCACAAGGTTCAATATTTTGTATTTGAAATAAAAAAATAATTTTCTTTTGTATTAAAAGATTTACTAATGATTGATTTTATTATAATAATCTAGAGATCATTTTGAAGAGGCTATGCGATATGCACGTCGTTCAGTATCTGATAATGACATTCGAAAGTATGAAATGTTTGCACAAAATCTTCAACAATCTCGTGGGTTCGGACCAAACTTTAAATTCCCTGAAGGTGGTGTTGGTGGAAGTTCTGGGGGAGGAGAAGCTAACGCTTTAATGGATACCACAAATGCTGGTGGTTTTCAGGAGGGAGGCGATGGCGAGGATGATTTGTACTCTTAATGGTTGGTTAGAATGCAAAATTGATATTTTTATTTTTACTTTTTAATTAAATAAAATCACGATAGAGCTCACATATTACATATATATATATTGAATAATATTAGTTTCAAGACTTTTGTTGAAATAATGTTTGCATTGGTTAAATACCGAAAAAGAAAAAACAAAAAAAAAAAAGAAAATGATATCATTTGAGTATTTAACTTGGCTGATCAAAAAAAAGAAAAAAACAAAAAAAAACAAAAAATATTTGATTTTATAGTATGGCATGCATTACCTTCTGAATTTATTTCACAAAATTCTGTAGTAATTAATGTATTAAATGAGAAATAAATCAAAACTGGTATAACAAAAATACTTTTTTTTTTTTTTTTTTTAATTATTATATTATTATTATTTGAAATAATTGTACAACAGATAATCTTTTAAATTTTTTTTTTTTTTTTTTTTTTGACAATTATAGAGAAACAACTCAAATAACTTCTTTTAACTTGGCAACTTTTTATACATTTGAAAATTTTTTTTTTTTTTTTTTTACATAAATGGGCCTACATATTTTACAAAGAGGATTCAAATATATGTTGTATATATTGGAAACTTATTACTTGTGAGTCTTGGTGGTAATAACTTTTATCATCTCTCTTCCAATTTTGTTACTTTCATCAAACCTAATAATTGAATTTAATAATAATACATAATATTACACATAATTATCCTCATTAGTGTTACCAACATAACAACAAACTAATAAACTCGTTTCTTCTTCACTATACCTCGACTCGAAGAATTTTGCAGTATCTTCAAATCTTTTTTGATAAGCGTGCATATTCCCAATATTAACACATTCCGCCCATCCTTTTGACGCGCTATAAAATTCCATATCATCCGCTCTAATATCTTTACTGTATAATGCTGAATGAATCGCTTCTTCCAACATTTCCGCATTACGGAATAAATATTCCGTAATACCACTATTGAAAAAAGAAAATTGAATTAGGATGATATATAGATAGATATATTCAAATACATATCAAAATCAAGGTAAAAAAAGTACTTACGTCCAAAGTCGAAATAACGGAGTTTGACAAACCATATGCTCATAAGGATTAATCCCTAATGTATACCAACAGTCCACCTAAAAAAAAAAAAAAAAAAAAAGGTGAATTGAAATGAAATGAACATAGAAAATTATTAATTATCATTATTAATTAAACACACCATGGCCAACAATGATAGATGTGAATTTGGTTTTCTTTTATCTTTCGGAACAATAGATAAAGAATATTTATCCAAAAGAGTATCCGATAATAGAATAGGCTCACGTGAATCAGAACATTCACCAAAAACAAATTCTCCCGCCTTTAGGTTCATCATAATCACGTAACATTTGGTAACGTTATTAAACCTAACTAAATAAATGAAATAATAATAAAATAAAATAAAAAAAAACTAATTGTGGGGATTGATTTTACCTTTTTAACTCGCGATTTAAATTCTTTCTCTTTCTCTTGAATCATTAATTTAAATAAATCGGAAACGGATTGAGCGTATTGTTGAATTTGTGTCTTAGCACTTGGATTCATAATTGCCAAACCTTATTTTATTTTTAAATAAATAAGGGGGTTTTTTTTTTGGTTTAAGAATCGAGCAAGTTGCATATAATCTGATTAAGAACACAACTTTACCAGCATAGACGTGCCATTTATTTGAATAAATACGTAACGCCATATGAACTTTGACATTTTCTATTCCACCCACGTATTGTGGAGTTTCCCACTAAAAAGGGAAAAAAAAAAAATTTTTAAAAAAAGGCGGAATTTCAAAATTGGGATCTTAACGCGCATGAATAAATAAACATTATACTGGAAATTGTCGTTGAGTTTTCCACGCGGTTCCCATGCTAAAAGAGAGAGTTAATAAAATAAGTTGGGATTGAAAATAAAATTTATTAAATCAAATGCTCGAATGACATACCTTAAAAATGCGACGTGAGTTACTGCTTGAGTATCTGCAGTAATCCGATCATGTTCTTTATACGATAATTTTACGACTTCAGAATCCATGCAGGATAATATGCGTAAGGCGATTTCAAACTTCTCTTTGGAGGCTCTATGTTGAATCATCACCTACATACAATAAGGGATGGATTATTTCCTTGACAATTAAAGAAATGAAAAAAAAACCAATCCTCTCTTATTAACCATCCTTATGATACTTACCAATGGCTGACCTTCTGAGTCCACAGTTGGGCCATGAAGCGAATGACATGAGACGATATGAACATCATCGGGAAGATGTTTCTCGAAGGCGCGAATTTCAGGTTCTTTGACTGATGTCTAAATAACCGGAAACCACAAATTTCAAACCAAGAAAAAGATTTTTACGTATATTATCGATGAACTTTAATTTATCTAACCTGACCGGCCACAATTGCACCAAGTTTCGTGGCTACAATTGGCAAAATCAACATATGTATATATATATATATAAAATAAATGCGAAACATTTCATTATCACCAAAAGTTTAACTTACATGGACCATATTCCGCCACGACCCTATCAATATTTTCCGCTTCGACGGAATAAATTATAAAGTCACTTCGTCTAGACACTGCATGACCATCTCGACAAACATTCATTCCACAATCTAATGATTTAAATAAAATTTTACAACCACTTTTTTAAACAACGAAAAGAAAAGAAATTAATTGAAAGATATTCGAAGTTTATTATTAACCTTTAAATAATTCTTTAAATTTTTCATACTGGTTAGGTTGGTCACATATATTCACTCTAATCAAATTGATATATGCATATATGCGTGTCAGGTTATTATTTTAATATACATGATGATAAAATGTCCTTTATCCTTTAGAGAAATAAGCGGAGTTTTCGTACTTTTTCCAACCAGCTGCTACAATTCTATTTGCGTACAACTGACCCATATCACCCAGACCTATTAACCCAATTTCCAACGATTCTTTTTCAATATCGTAAGAAACCATGATATGTGAGACGGGAGAAAAAAATATTCTATAACCTCACAGCCCTCATACTTGAGGCTTTTAAAATAATAATCCCCGATAATCTAAAAAAAAAAATCCGTTTATCGTGGATTCATTGTCCGTCATACAAGTTTAAACAATTTTTTCTTAATTTAGAAATATGATCGTTGCTTCATATGAAATCATTTATAATTTGAAATATAAAATATTAAATATATATTATTAAGATCATTAATTTTTATTGATGTTTCGTCCAGAAATTCCAATTAAAAAAAACAAAACATAATATAACCCAGTTACTTCATTTTTTAAAAAACACAAAAACAATTTACACGCACACATATATTAGAGAAGGTTAAAATAATAATATCATCAAGGTTTTTTTTTTTTAAAAAAAAAATAAACAAAAAAAAATAAAATAAATATTTGCTTTAAATAATAGTTATTTGATAATATGAAAGATGTTTAAAAGGGAAGGAAAAATTATTTTACAAGAATTTAAAAGTAATAGAATAATGTAGAAAGGGAGAAGAAATAAAGTTGTTCGGATTTCAAAGTTTGAGGCAGGGAACCTAATTTACAAAATCCATTCTAATCATTAAAATATTATAAAAAGAAAAAGAACCCAATAAAAATTGGGATGAATACTAAGACTCAATTTTTTATGTCAAACGAAAAAAGCGTTATCTTTACAATGCTCTATCCAGTAAGCAATTTTTAAAAAATAAAAATAGATTAAAAAGGGGTTATTTTTTTTGTATTTTCATTATTAATGAATGCGTTGAATTATAATAAGAATAATTATGATTTTCGTAAAGTAAAAGATCTGTTGGAGAAGTTTCGTAACTCGTCGTATTGTGAGTTGGATGTAACATTGGTGAAGAACTTGGAGATGATTCCGGCGAATGGTTCGGAGAATAGAAAGGATATTGATATGGTTTTCGCGAAGAACATCTTGGAAAGTCATAACAACATTTTTCATTTAAAGTAGATAATTTGTCTTTTTTCCGGCATGCTTCACTACAATATAAATTTTCAACAGCAAACGTGTGTTTATCGCACACAGGACACCAAGAAAGATCCATGTTTTTTAATAGAAAAGTACTTTTAGGATATTTAAAGAAAGATTATTTAAAAATGAAGATTTAGTTATTATTTTGGGTTATATTAATATAAAGTATATATCATTACGCTTTTCCGTTTTGGACGGTAAAAAATTTAAATTTTAGTTTTCGATCATTATAGGTTTTTTTTTGTTTGGATGAGGCTGAGATGAGGCAATTTTTTTCCTTTGATTTTTAACCACAATTTATATATTTTTCGTCGAAGTAAATTAATATGTTTAAATTTGGTAATTCATTTAACAGTTCCGATCTTTACTTCTTCAAATTTCATTTTATCATAAGTGTCATATGTTTCTAAAATCCAGTTAGGCCATAACATATGTTAAAGGTTTCTGAAGTTATTCCCAGACGAACGCTTTGACACATGTGAGATTTATTTTTCCAGGGAAATATTCTTCAATGTAAAATTTTCAAAGATCTTTTTTTTATAAGGAAACTACCATAAAGCCAGGTTTAGACTTCAATATTGTATTTTAAAATGAGACCAATTTATCGTTATTCACCGAACCATAAACTCCTAAATTTGGGAATATGGTTTGTGGGTAAAAATGATTCACTACAAACAATTGATTTTTTTTTTTTTATGCAATTGATGTAATTTTATGCAAATGATCGAAATGTAATTCATTTTTATAGTCATATTTCAAAAGCATAATAATAATAATAATAAAATAGTTATAAAGAATGTTAGACAATACTTATAAATATGGCTATTATAAGAAATATTATAAAAAATTTAGTTGTTATAAAATTGTAAACAATAAAAATAAACCTACTACTAATTATTATATCATTAATTTTTAAATAATTTCATATATGTTCTCATATAGCATGCATAATAATTCCCCGATCTGTAAAGATTAATTATCCCTCAAAAATTCTTTTTTTTGTATGAGGAACTAAGCTTAGCTGATCAACCACAAGGGTCGCACAAAATGATCGTAATAAAAATCCGAGATTTTCAATACATCTCCTGTAAGAAAATTCCAAAAAAGATGGTTAATAATATTACAGTAAAATATGCGTTCATTGGTATAATTTTTGCATTCATGTTTTATGCATTTAGCATAAACCATCAATTAATCATATCAAATATCAAATTAATTTATAAACCAACGTTTTATCACGGGGAACACATCCATAAAAATTATTTTGAAGGGTGGTATTATAAAACAGTTATTACAAATGAATCTCTTATAATTATACCAGGGATTTATAAATCAGCTTTGCCCTACGATGGAAAATCTCATGCTTTTGTTATGGTGATTCGTGACGGTTATGAATGTTTATATTATCGATATAATATTAGCGAATTTAATTCAAAAGGTACAGATTCAAGTAAATTTATGATTAGGATTGGACAAAATAAATTTAGCGAAAATGAAGTGGTTTTAAGTCTTCCTGCAATCAGATTAATTCAATCAACAGATATCGAATACGATGAATATACCGACCTTTTAGTTAAAGATTGGAGTAGAATTATGGGAAAAGGATCAGAATCAAAATCAAAAATTCCTTCCTTGAAATCATCATTTACAAGACCTCCTTTTATTCCATATTCGGTTCGTGGATATATTTCTTTCAATGATATAACTCCGTACCCTTTCACTTATACTCATCCAAATGTGATGGGTATTTTTGCCTATATTCCTTTCTTGGAATGTAATCATGGAATCATAAGCATGTCTCATCGATCTTCTGGTATGGTCGAATTTATTAATATGGAAAATAATGGAATTATAGAAAATAGAATGGATTTGGAAAGTGGTTTTGGTTATATTGAAAAAGATTGGGGTGTAAATTTTCCGGAATCCTGGATTTGGTCTCAATCAAATAAATTTATCAATGAGAAAGAAGAAAAGAGTTCTTCAATATTAATTTCTATTGCGGATATTCCATTAGTATCATCCGATAATCCTTTACTTAAAATTCCTTATCTGAAGGATTTCTTACATTTTCCCGGTCGGATAATAATCTTTTATCATGCAAAATCAAACATTACTTATAACTTCAGTACTTATAATTTGTTTTCTAAAGTTATCGATTTAGTAATTAATATGGATGAAAATAATCCTTCCATGCAGTATGTGCAAGATGTCAAATTACATGTTATGGATATTTCAAATGGATTAAATTTGGAGATTAATATTAAACGTAAATTTGGAAATGGTATTCCTTTACGTAGTCCTAGTAAACAATTTGGCAAAATGGCTTTAATGATTGAAGAAAGTTTGGATGCTGAATTACATGTTAAATTATGGAGATCTGGTAAAGTTTCTCAGGAAGAGGAAGTTATATTTAATGACCATTCTATCGTTAGTGGTTTAGAAATTGTTGGTAATGTATGGTGGATTGTTAGTAAACTTTCTGCCGGTAAAGTTTAATTATTAAAAATTTTCTATTTGGAAGGACTGTATCTAGATTTGTTCTTTATTCCGTTTGATTCACGTTCACAAATATATATATATATATATATAAATAACCCTGAAGAATTCTAGAATTATATAATATTTTTTTTTTTTTAATGATTTTATAAAAAATGAGAATTTGCAAATTAATAATATATTTGTGCAAACATGAAGAACCCTTTAATCCATGAATAAATGTGTAAAATTATTCAAAGTCATGAGAAATTTAAACTTTCTTTTAAAATATTTTTTTTGGGTTAAGATGACACTTAATGTCAATCTTAATTAAATATTATCTAGATTACTTTTCTTTCTTGGTAGCTTTTGTCTTTTTAGTTCCACGGAATTTCTTGGCACGATTCTTTCGCTCTTTGCGTTGTTTGCGAGCAGTCTTCTCAGCCTCTGCAATGCGATGCTAAAAAAAAAAAATTTTTTTTTTTAAAATAAAAATTTAATTGATGGAAATTGATAGATTTAAATAAAATCAATCAATCAATTAATTAATTACCCTAACAAGTCGATATTTTGGTTCGAATTTTTTCGCCATTTCAAGAGTATCATAAATTAAACCGAAACCAGTTGAACGACCACCACCAAAAGCGGTACGAAAACCAAACACAAAAACAAATTCTTTGTCAGTTTTATACATTTTGGCCAATTTCTCGCGTATTTCGACTTTTGATGCGTTCGCACGACCAGGGTGAATAACATCTACCACAAATTGCTTTCTATGCATTAGCCGGTTACTAAGAAATTTGCGTGTCCTTATGGTAGCTGTTGCTGCATCAGCCTAAAGTGTATTAAAATATTATTATTAATCCTTTTAAAACAACATAATAGAATATTTATCATTCTTCCATATCTATATCAAAATGTATCTCATCCATATAGATAAATTTTAATCGATACGCACCATTTTGATGACAAAGGTAGAAGTTTAACTTTTGTTCGAAGTAAACTTTGACAGAGATCCGATAAAAAAAAAAAAAAAATTTTTTTTTTTGTTCTATTTTATTAAGATGACGTTTCTCTAATCCAAATCACTTGTGTTACTTACAATCACGTGATAATATATAAATTTATTAGCGCATTAATAATAATTTCTAGTATTAAAAACTAAAATTTTTAAAAATTAGTTTGAAATTTTAAAGTTTACCATTATCAATAAGCAAATGTTTGGTCAACTGGTCGGTCAAAATAAGTCAAAAACGGTCAATCAGAAACTTTTGACTGACCGATATCAGTCATGGTCATGACCGGTCATGACCAGTCATAAAAAAAATGATAATTTTAATATTTGTTCTTTTTATGCAAATTTATAATATAAAGTTAATTTTAATTATAAAACTCTTCTATTTATATAATATATTTTGATTTAATATTAATATTAATAAAAAACTTCTTTATAATCTATTATACGAATTTATATATATATATATATACTGTACAATATTTTTAATCTCTAAAAAGAGATCAACTATACTTTTTAATTTGATTTAAAATTTGAACTTAAATATAAATGCTTAAATAGTCAAACTTATTTTAATTCTTCTAATTATAATATTTTGATAATATTATAATAATATTATAACTATATAATTACAATATAATTAAGAATATTATTAATAATATTTTTACTATTTTTTTATTTTTTTATTATTAATTACAATATAAAAATATTTGTATAAAATAATAAATTAAATATTATTATTGAAATATACTTCTATTCTTATGCAACTTATTTGAACTGAAATCAACATTTATTAGATTTATATATAGTTATTTTGCAGTAAAAAAATACAAACTTTAAAAAATATTTTTTAGGTTTATGTTAAATCTGTATTTGTTTTATTAAAAAAATCATATTAGCATATAAAATAAATTTTTGGTTATTTTTGTAATTCGTGCCTTTCTAACTGCAAAGCATTTATATACACATATTCCTATACGTTTAAATTAGATAATTAATTTATTTGTGCAATAAATTAATATAAATTTGACAGTTTAATACTACCTTTACAAAATTATATTTAATATATATATTAGTTATATAATAATCTTACTAATTTTATAATATAAAGTTTTAATGAAAAATATATAATAAATATAATATACAAAGGAAATTTCTATTTGTATACAGGGTGTTTAAATTTAAAGTGATACAGAAAGGATTTTAAAAAGAAATTTAAACTTATTTTAATAATTAAAAAATTGAATATAATGATAATATTTAAAAAAATTTAATCTTTAAAACTAATAATTTTTTTAAAATTAATTAGGACTAATTAAGACCAATTAGGACTTTTACCAACGCTAATCTTGAAAAGTATGATTATTAAGAGAGTCAACTGAAATCCTAATTTTAATAAACAATTTTCATAATTATCATAACTAGCAGAAATATCAATAATTATATCTATTTTTAATAGAGTTGTTGAACATATTTTTTTTCACTAAAATTTGATCAAAACAAATTTGAGAAATTTGATGTTTATCAAAATTTTAAATTATTATTTACATATAGTTTTAAATACATCTATTTCTTAATTTTGAAAAATTTACAAATATTGGAATAGTATTCCTAAATATAGTATTTAATAATAATTTGTTAGTTAATATCACTTATATTAGTAGATAAAGCATATTTTACCATATTAAATTTATTATTTGTATATTATAAAAAATTTTTTATTAAAGAATATTATTTGCATATAAATTTTTTTTAAAATTTTGTATACATCAAAAATTTGATATATATATATTTTTACTATATATCATATGCACAAATTGCATATGATTTCATTCAAATTTTATATTTTGATAATATTGTAAACAGATCTATAAAGTGATCTACATATAATAATCTATAGAATTAATCTACTGAATAATTGATTTACATGTATAATGTTAAAAATGTTGACATTATTAATATAGTTAATATAGTTAATATTAGGATTCCTCAAAATCGAATTGAATCAAATATTTAAGCAATTTGAATTTGATTTGATTTTTTCAAATTGAATCAAATCGAA